GGAGTTACATTCTAAAAGGCCAATTTAGCACTTGTTGACACCAAATGATGGGGACAGGGCCCAATAGAAAGAGTTGAAAGCAGAGATTTTCTCAACACTATTCTGGCCTAAATCATACAAATGATTTTCGTGCTGTGTTAAAAAATCTTATTTCTTGTGCAATTTTGTGATCAGTCAGCCGGTCATAACAGAATGCAGAAGTCAGTCATTTTCCACGATGTTTTCTGAAGGTCATATTGGCGACGTGACAGATGCTGAGGGGAGCTTCTGTATTTTTTTCTTGGTAAAAAAAAATATGAATTTTGTGTGACCTAAAGTGCTGCTGCATTACATTTGTTATCTTTTACAATTGGGTATTTGTTTGAATGGATGGGTGTATTGCTGCTGCTGGAAACACCCGACTTTAAAGGGGATCGGTAAAATATCAATCTATTTGTCTATCTATCTATTAATCTATATATCTATCTATCTTCTGCAGAGACCATAGACCTGAAGTAATGCTGACATCACACATAGTATTTGCCGAATCCAAAAGAAGCCCATTTGAACATAAGCTAGCTGGAGCCAATTTCCCTTTGTGGGTATTTGTTGCGACATGGCGTTATAACCGGGGCAAACCATGGATATGTGTTGCTAAGATGGTTGCTAAGGCACGCTGTAATCCCCAAAGCAAATAACGGCATCTGATTGGTCAATCCTTACATGGCTCATATCTGGATTTACAAAGTCAATATTAAAATAAATCACCAGGGTCATAGAAAGAGTTAAAACACAGGTATTTTAAGCCAAAAAAAAGGTGAGTGTGACACAAAAGGATATTGAGAGAAGTCAATAGAAGCCAGAGAAAATTGGACCAAAACTTCCTCCATGAGCACTTCCCCGTTGGGCTTCATTGAGCAAGGGAGTGAGCTTTGTCCATCTATATACAGTCTAAAGCTGAGACAAGATCCCAGTCCTCTACATCTTTTTCATTTTTCTTGTATGTTTAAAATAAAGTTTGATCTCCTGATATGTCTCTCTGTATTTAGAATCAATGGTATCGACACTGACCACTGTTTAAAGGTGACCGTATATATGTTGCTCACCCAAGTATGACCTTCTCAGATGAGTGCACATTTTGATGGGATTGGAAGAGACGCCCCCTCACCTTACTGAGCAGATCGGTGCCGCTGCGGGACCGCCTGAGCTCCTGCAGACCCCTTGGACCCCAAGTGTGCGCTCATGTACCGTAAGTGTATATGTTCACTGAGCGGCGAGAATGACTGGCAGCCTTCAGCCCCCCCGGAGAAGAGTGGGTGAGGGGCATAACTAAGACATCTATAAAGCAAGACGCGAGAGTGGGAATAGAGGATCAAGGAAAGAAAAAAAATTAAAGTGGCAAGATGAAAAGAGGAGAATAACGTAGAGTAAAGGAGGAGGGGGTTGGGAAATACCATTCCATTGTCCTGGTTACGCTACTCTTCAATCTATTTTACTTAGAACTTTTACAATGATCATTTGTTTGTATTAAAAAGTGAAATATATTTTTATAGATAGTTGTAGATAGTTGTAGATAGTATATAGTTGATTTCAACTGCCGGCACAGACAGGTCTAGACTCTGAAACATGGGGAAAAAAAGTTCTCATGTATTGTTAAATGAAGTGGGTCTGCATGGCCTGGTTATCGATATTCTGATCAACATTTTGTCCATTTCATGTCTTCATACAAAGTGTGTGAAGAAAAAAAGCATGATTGTTGTGTTCATGTATAGTGTGAATTTAAAACCCATGAAAGACTAAAAGCTGCTAGCCTCAGTTTGCTCCAAGGAGAAAGAGGGTAAACATGACAGCTACCAAGTGGAAATATGAAATGGAACTGTATGTTTTCATCAGTCTTGCAGCGAAAGGTATTCTATATTAATCAAATACAGAAGTGCAAATTAGAATGTGAAGCTAAGAGAAATCTATGAGCAATGGTCATCGCTTGTGCAGAGACGACAGCTCGTCTGCAGTGACGTCTGTATTATTTATTATTTCACCCTCATATTACAATCCATTTGATGCTTTTGTTTTAATACAAGGCTAAGGCACTATGACAAAATCCTTTCCCAAGCCTATTTTGCCTCTAATTGAAACAGCTTTTGAATGTGAGTGCTAATGGACTACCCTGTATCTGTTGTTCTTTGGGTGTTTTTATTGATGCCCTTGTCTGTCAGCACATTTGCGCAGTCACGTAAGAGTGCGTGTGTGCCTAATGTATTTTTGATTGGGAGTGATTAACTGGCAGAGCGGCCCAGGCATCTGTGATCAGATTGTTCCTGCAGCCAGACACCTCCCACAGCACTGGCAGGAAGCCGCGCACTGGAGCCAGTAATGACTACGTTACACCATTGAGGCACACGGCGCTGTGGATAGTGAGAGTAATATTCAGCAAAACAAAACATAGAAATGATTATATGTGTCTCACATGGAGAAAGAAATATTTATGTATCGACCTTTAAAAAAACACTGCTATTAGAACACAGTGACAAGAAGGTCTAGCTACTAACTTAGTGTGTTTTTGACTCTTATCGGACACATCATTAAAACTATGGTACACGAGGCAAAGAGGGTGTAAGTGGTTCCCTCCTTACTAACTGAAGAATACTAGAATATTGGCTATTTTAAAAACCGCTGATTCTAGTGCCTTTGATATAATCTTGTTTATAAAATTAAACAAGATGATATAAGTTAATTAAACTAGAATAATAAATAACGGGTGGGAGTTTAAAAGTCTTAACTTTTTCCCACTCCTTTTCGAGCTGACTTTTTGTCAATAGAAAACAAAACATGCTGTATTGTTTGTTTGTTTTGTTTTTTTCTATTCTGTTGTTTTGTTGCTGTTCTTTGTTCTTGTCTGTCATGGCTCGAAATAAAGTATTCATTCATTCATTCAAAACCATAATTTTACAAATGATAGACTACATAAAGTGAGCTGTTAAACATGCCCATCAAGAATGAATGCCAGGTTGAAGCAAAGATTGCCTGAAAACCTCTGATTGAGAACCCATTCTATCTGAGAAAACAGTGGCACCATGCTACATACATTGGTTTGCAGAGTTGGGTCACAATATGGAGCTCCTGAATAATGGAAAGGGTTAAATAATAAAGGCCTTAGTTTTTGGTTCCAATCACTCACCATTAGAATCAGATTCAATTTGATGTACCACTAAATACAAGCAGGGACAGGGAAATATAGATTGTGTGAAAGAAAGGGGGTGATGTCATTGGTTTAAGCAGGTGGGCTCCATGCATTATAGATCAGAATCAATATTTCATACATGCACTCATTCATGCTGGAAAAGGGAAAAGACAAAGATTTATATATCACAGCAGGCACGAATACAAATTTGATGGGGTATAGATCTTATTTAACCACGTGAACTGTCAACACTGGAGAAGAATAAGTTTTACTGAACATGTGTTTTATGGATTTGTCCTCTGTATTTGACCCATTCTTTTAACGCAACTAGGGCCAGATGTTGCAGAGCTTGTTTAGAAATTCCTTCACCACTTACCACGTACCTCTGATGCATGTTTTGGGTTGAAACTTCAGACACCAGACACAGAGAGAAACAAGCAGACACCACACAGAAAGGCCCGGCCTGGCATGGGATTGAACCTGCAACCTTCTAGTGGTGAGTTGGCCGATAAATTGTGTTTATTTATAATGTTATAGTCACTTTACATTTAAGAGAAAAGTGGCCTGTAATTACAATACTGTTATGGGTTTAAAACGAAGTAATCTCTGTATTAAAGATCGAAATAAAATCAATAATTTTTTGCATTGATTACTTTTGTGAACATTCACGCACCTTTTCTCGTTGGTTTTCAACAGTAGGTAGCAAGAGACATATTCTTAATTTTTTCTTTGTCTGAATACATATTTTTTCACGTTTTTATTATCGCTGAGGCTGTTTTGAAATGTGCTTTACAAATGAGTTTGATTTTAAACAAAGGGTACATGAACCATTGCACATTACAAAGATTTAAATGCTTAACCGATACATTTTAATCAATAAATAACACATGTTGTTTGTCCCAACACTGTTGTGTTTAGCTATAGGACCCCAAAGCAGAGACTGATACAGACAAGTAGTGATGGGTCGTGCCGCGTCGGCGCTTCTGAGCGTGAGCCGAGAAATCCCTGAAGTTTTTATCGGAGCGCGGGCCGAAGCCTGAGTTGTTTTAGATGAGTGACGTCACTAATGACGTTTGAAGCCTCGGGAGCACAGGATATGGAGCGATTCATGAAGTACTGCAGAAGATCCGCTCAAACTGTGTGTTTGTCTTGGTGATTAATGTAATCAGTGATGGAGAGGGTTGTGGTATCAGCTGGTTGGCTCAATTGATAGGGAAGCAGGGCTGAGACCTGGGAGACCGGGGTTCGAATCGCACTGGGAGTGCGTCTATGTAAGTACACGAGAAAGAATTTTGTCAGAAATGTTTTGGTTTTAAACAACTGATGGGGTCACAATCCCAAATGATATCCCCATTTGCGTCACGTCCTTTGAAAAGCACTTACACTTTCAACATGTTTTTTGTCCCATTGGATTTATAACATTGATTTTGACTTGAAAAGCTATTATCATTCATCATTAAATATGTATATAAATATATATCTACGTGTGTGTGTGTGTGTATTAGAGCAGACAACTGTACCAGTTACCAGTACATTATAATTTTATTGTAATTTAAAATATATTCATTTTCACTACTGATATTGATCATAATGAAACAGATGAATTAATGGGTCATACACAATCAAATTACATTTTTATTTCTGTTACCAGTATTAATTCCTATGCACCAAGAGCCTCACAAACAGTTCAAATGTCAATACAGATTTTGACCAACAGGAGGTTTGTGAGCATATGAAGCATCAAGAAATGAACCTTTTCTCGAACCAATGGATGAAAAGGTTCAACACTTCATGAAGCTTCATCAACCCATCACTACAGACAAGTTCAAAGAGTTTATTCTCAACGATACTGGAGGCAGGCAGTGGAGGCAGGCAGTGGAGGCAGGCAGTGGAGGCAGGCAGTGGTGGCAGGCAGAGAGCGGGCCGACTGGAACTCAGGCTCTGGCGATATCTAGGCACACGGGAGAAAAACAGGTAAGTATCCAAAAAAACAAGGGGACTACAACTGGATCCAGCTTCTGCAAAGCTACCGAGCACGATGGAATAATCTGGCAGCGAGGTGCTGAGAAATCCAGACATTCATACTGGTATTGATTGGTGATGAAGCACAGGTGTAGAGACTCAGCACCAGGAGAAGTCAGCCACGCCCCTCCCACACACTGCTCTGCTGCAACAGATCTCAGGGGGGAGGGGAACAGAACAAACCAAAATCATAACAAACACAAAGAGTCCTGTTGAAGTATAACATATTATCTACTGCACACTTTTAAGAAAGAACCTAGTTTCTGTCTGATAAAAGCCAAAAGCGACATGTATGAGGAATCTAAACTGTTTTAGATAGTGAGGAACTAGTTAGATTAGTTAGAACTAGGAATGTTCTGCATAGTTCCAATGTTGTGGTTTGAAAGTGAGGTAACCCAGCTTTAAACAGATTCATGCAGATCATTTACAACAGCAGAGAATTTTGGGGTATACCATGTTCAAATATTCAGGCGAAGGCAACGTTAAATATTTGGATCTGGTTCAACAGTAACACATATTGGTTACCATGGACACATCATGCATTTACCCAGTGCTCAAGGATGAGTCACATACTGAAGGTTTTCCCTCTTCTGATCTTCCTGACCCACTTTTTTAAATATAGCTAAAACAGATAAGGGGGAAGGGGCATTTGGACCCACACAAAATAGACATATTAATATTCAAATTTAGCTTTGTAAACACAGGATTTTAACATGCGTGTTGTACAAACGTATGTCCTCGTCCTCTATGCAAACTTGAATTGCAATTTTACAGGACTTTGATGTTTTAATGAACAGCTTCTAGCCAACTGGGAACTCGATTATACGGCTGGGTAGGAAACAAGCGCAGATAAAAAGGCTTAGTTTCCTAGTCTAGACACAGACTAGACTTTAGCACTGTGAAATAAAAGAAATGTGCAACGCTTGACCTATATACTATACATTTATATTTATTTTCTTCTACAGTAACATGTATAAGAAGAGAAATCATGCATTTTGATACTTTCTTTAAAAAGAATTATGAACACCGGCCATATAGACATCAGGTGAAAAATATTTCCTTGGCATTTAATATATCCATCCATTCATTCTCTTCTTTATATGTTGCCAGGTCGCAGGGGCAGCAGTCTTAGCAGAGATGCCAAGACAGACCACTGGGCTGACATTCAATATTCCAGCCTTATTATTTTTTTTCTCTCTCTTTTCTGGAATGAGCTGTTGACAAATCCTTTACTATTGTAGAAAACATCTTTGGATGGATGCAATGGTATGTCTCATTGTGCAACTAATGGTGCATAAATGTTTGGCTATTTTAAAGGTCTCCTCTGTGCTCTGGTGTGTCATGAGCTTCAGAATTTTCAGAATACACAAGACTGTATGTGTTCTGGGGCCCAAAATCTGCAGAACTTGTGAACTAGTAACTTATTTATAGTTGGTAGGGTATTTTTTTGGCAGTCATGAGGCGCCAATAACTGATCATATGTTGAGCGTCTCTAGAAAAGGAATTACTATGATTTGTCTCACAAATACCCCGCTGTGGGACGAATAATGGATCTCTTTATCTTAATCTTAATCTTAATTATCTTGCTGTGTTTGTGTGATTGTGAGCAAGGGACTGATGCCCAATTTCCTTTGGGATGATAAATGTATTTATCTTTCTATCTTTCTATCTATCTATCTATTTATAATGGTCACTACTGTTCGAGTTTGTGTTGTTCATGAATCATTAGGAGCAGGTTTACACAGCAGGTTCACACTCACGATTACAGCAGACCCTTGTTTTCCTCGGGCACGGAGTGATGACCCCAGAGGTCAGAAGGCCTGACACCTCATTACTTCCCTCACTACCGCCTGATCACCACACCGGGTCGTCATGGCAACTGTTAGGCAGGAAGCGTATCTTGATGCAGAGAAAATTGCACCAAAGCACTGCGCCCCAGGGTGTATGTGCGTGCATGTGTGTGTGTGTGTGTATGATACTAGGGTGTGTGCGTGTGTGTGCGTGCATGTATGTGTGTCCAGGGTGTGTGGGTGTGTGTGTGTGCTGTATATGTGTGTGTTGTGTGCATGTGCGTGTGTCCAGAGTGTATGTGTCTGCTGTGTGCTCGTGGCATATGGTATCCACTGTGTGTCGGTCATGAGGGGAAGCTTCCTCCGCCCCCTCCCTCACACCCCCGCTATGATGGAGGTTTCCCAAATCAGCAGGATGAAGGAAGGGCATAAGGGGACGACCACAACCCCAGGTCAGAGCTACCACTGGGTCAAATAATCACAGCATCTATTTGGGATATAGTCAAGATTATTTCAACTCATTATGAATAAATTAGTTTGTGTTCGGTCTAAATGACAGCACATGAACAAATATATGTAAATATGTTAGTAAGTAAATAACTTTTTTTATATAGCGCATTTTGACAGAGCAAGGTCACCCAAAGCGCTTTACAATATTCAGAGTTCAGATATCGGTGACGACGGAAGGGAGTCGCCGAACACACTGCTGCATGAAAGCCCCTGACCAAACACCATTCATTCTCACTCATTACATTGTACCTATTGTGCATGTTTTTAGTTGAAGGGAAGCCACTGGAGCACCCAGGGGAAACCTACGCAGACACGGGGAGAACATGCAAACTCCACTCAGAAAGGCCCTGTTCCGACTGGGATTCGAATGCAGGACCTTCTTGCTGAGAGGCGAGAGAGCTATCCACTAGCCACCGTGACCCATTATGGCAAAACATTTTGGCTATGAATTGTAATCTTTTCTCACGTTTGTGTTCTTTTCAGGGGGTGAGATTGGTGGCTGAGTGGATAGCATTCTCACTCCTCAGCAAGAAGCTCCTGGGTTCAAATCCTGGTCGGAACAGAGCCTTTCTGAGTGGAGTTTGTATGTTCTCCCAGTGTCTGCATAGGTTTCCTCCGAGTGCTCCAGTCTCCCCTACAATCTCTGTGCTGAGTGAGAGACAAATGCCCACAATTGTAAAGCGCTTTGTGACTCTGGTCTGTGAAAGGCACTTTAGAAATAGATAGATACTTTAGAAATAGATAGATACTTTATAAATAGATATATTCTTTATAAATAGATAGATTACTTACTTACTTACAATTTTTTAACTCATTATCTATAGACACACAACAAGATTAAGCTAAATACTATTCCTTTCCAATCAGTTCAATTCATGTTTCATTTCTTGGGGGGCATTTTCTCCGTGCCTGGTCTTTGGAGGTTGGCAGCTCCTTGCCGTGTGCAAATTGTCATTGGAGACAGTCGAAGGAATCAATGTGCATTTACAGGTCTACAATCAGGCATTTCAATCTCCTGCCGAGTCTCAAAGCCTCAGAGTGACGTCCGGCTGATGTGAGGCCGATCCAAGGATCCCTGTATCCATAATAGAGCAAAGCCTCAATTTCCCTGTTACAGAGATAAGACACGCCCACCTCGCCGCTCCAACATGATGGATATAACGATCGGAACACACACAAAGGCTCGCCACATCACTGTCTGCGCTGCTCTGTTTTGAATCAGATCAGACAAAGGCAATCAGACTGGGATGAAGCCAGATACAGGGGATCAAACTGGTGAGAAAATAACATTGGGAAAAAGATTAGAGTAGGGTTAGGGACGGCATAATATTTTGCATGAACGGTTAAAGGAGTGGTAGCTAACTTTCAAACCACAATAAATCCAACTATTCAATCAATCCAACAAGTCATTGGCCCTATCACTAGTTTTCACATTTAAATAATGTGTATTTTTGGCCTCTCCCATGTTTAGATCAGCAATTTTTGTCAGAAAAGTGACAACGAGAGGACCATACTCAAGCAATTAGCTCTTACTGTAGCTCTCATCCCAAAGTGTCAAATAGTCACAGGGGTATTATTCGTGCAATGCATAATATATATTCTATTAAGATAAAATCATCATTGTCTGATTTGTTCACAACATTTTACTTTCTGTTAACCTCGTCCCTCTTTCTGTTCAGGCAAACAAAATGCTGTATGCACGGATAAGTCTTTCATGATCATCTTTTTAAAAAAGCACAAATGTTGATAGTTTTAAAGTCGTCCAAATATGAATGAATTATGCAAAGAAATAATGATCACATAATTATTCAAATCCATGTATGTTTAGAGGCCCAAATCTCATCCCCTGAAGAGAACATGTGAACAGAAGATATGAGTGTGATTTACAACTGGTGAATAATGGACCAGCTGACACATGCAGGATGTGTAGCTTGAGGGCGGGTCTCGGATGTAGATTTATGACGGTACTCTCCCTCTGCGTGTGAAATGGTTTTCTGGTGCCCAGGATGTCATGGAAACCAATATCAGCCTGTGAAGTTATGGATTAAGATTAAAAGCTATTCATGTTCTTTTGTTCAAGTTGCTAATCTACATTTTTGGTTTTACAAGAACAGAATGAGTGGAAGAACACAGTCAGAGGGGGTGGATGAACTTCTTATCTTTGCTTGCTTGTGGACTGTGCCAAAAATTTAAAAAATGTTATCTCAACTTTTCTGAATCTTGTTTTACATATGTTTAAAAGAGAGAGAGAGAAGCATTGTGGGTCTTAAGAGGAGGACTTGTTGTTCTTCTTTCTCTAAACCCACTGCTTTGGTGAAAAAGCTGTGTCAGGGACAGACGGCGCGTATCTGAAATATTTCATGAAGTAAGATCAGTCCGTTCTGAAGAGTTTTGAAGAGGAAGTCAAAGTGTGGCCATTTCAGCAGATGTGTTTTGGGTCAAGCTCTCAGGTGAGTCAGGCAAAGCCCATAGAGAGCTCTGCACACACCAGGACTCATCGTGACATACACAAAACTAAGTGGCACAGGGGTATGTCCTTGTGAAGGTTGAAGGTTCAATCCTGTGTCAGTCCGGGTCTTTCTGTGGGAGTTTGCATGTGTCGTGTTCTATCAAGTGCCCACCTCCAACGCACCATATGTAGAATAGGTTCCTAATCCTCCTGTTCAAGTAGCCCTGACCAAGCATCAGCCTCTGCAGATGGGTCCTCTGTGACTAGATTGCTCTTGTGATATGAGTCAAATGCAGACAACTGTTACTTTACTGAAATTATACATTTGATAATTGGTTAAAAACATGAAAGACTTGATAGGCGATACCAATTTTGATACTACAGTGAAGATTTTAAAATACTTTTTTTCAGTATTGACACTCTCTCAAATCAGAATCTAGTTTCAATTCTAGTTTTAGAAGCTGGTTTTCGTTTCTTTTGACAAGCCTTTACCGACATGGCACTTGTAAAAGCACAAAGCGCAATATTATTCTGGACTGAAGAAAACCATCACCATGTGGTTTCAAACCGTTTGTTGTAAGCCAGACTGAAGTGGAGCTTTGTGGGATGAATAAATATTTTATCATCTCTAGTCCAGTCGTGTTCAGAGAGGAGCAGCGTCATGCAGCAGCAGCAATTGCATATCTCACCACTAAATTGAATATATTCACTTTGGACCTCTAATCCCAGAGCAGCCCAATCACTGCAGACTTATCCCAAAGGCCATCAGCAAAGTCAATGGCTTCTGAAGATACCAATCTTTCATTAACCTTCTGTTTCTTTGCAACCTTTCACTACACTCCACCATGGCACAAACCTGCACAGTCTGAAATGTGTGAGAAGGAGCGGAGTAAACAAGTGTGTCATTTTTAAGGATTTTCAACAGGAGATGATGTTTTTGCTACAGTCTGAGAAAGTGGTTGGTTCAGCAGCGGAGACTATAAATCATCCAATTCAACTTGGTGCATTGCATCTTTTTTCCAATAGAATGAAATGAATGGCTTCTCAGAGGAATTTGCTCTTATAGCGGAGTAGTGAAACATTTAAAAAAAAAACACAGAAAAAAGAACGGGCAAAGGTAAAACAACAATTATCAACACAGTAGTAGCCTTTTTGAGTGGAGTTTGCATGTTCTCCCCATGTCTGTGTAGGTTTCCTCCATGTGCTCGGGTTTTCCCCACCACTAAAAACTTGTACAATATGTGAAAACCTCCAGCTCTGGTTCTGGCCCAGAGCATCTGGAGATGGGTCCCCGGGCGCTGCACTGTGGCGACCACCGCTCCTGACAGAGGCCCCAGGATGGGTCAAATACAGAGGACAAATTGCCATATGGGGATAAATCTAGTATGCCTGAACCTTTCTGCCTTAACCTTTCTTACAGCATATTTGGTGAACTATCCTGTTTTTGAAAAGTTTTGTTTTGTCATCAGAATAGGTCTGTAACAAATCATAAGAATGCATTGATTACAATAAAAGTAAATGTATTACCAAAATGCAGGTATGGGTGTTACTTGTTTCCTCAACTATTCCAAGGTAATCTTCAATAGAAAACTAGAACACAATAGCATTAGTTTTCAAAAACGGTCGCTTGCAGCCCTACAACTGAAACACTTTTTTGAGTAACAAATGTCCGTTTTGGTTCTGTTACGACCCAGAACTGCTTGGGTAAGGGCCGTAACAGGTGCATAACTTGTAAACCCTGTATGATACAGGCCAAGACTGATTTATACCAATCTTTTCTCTGTTTTTTGTTTTATTAAAATTCCTTATAAGTTTCTTAAGCACACTCCCAAAGACAGCTCCAATGGCTACATACCTTACACATACAAGACCATAAATTATCATTGTTGCCAAGATACGGAATGCATTCACTATGAGTCCAAACCAAAGGAGGTAGTTGGCTGTTCTCGTCTGCTCAAAACACACAGACATGAAACACGAGATATGGTTGTATTACAATAAAGACATGAAGCAGTGCTTTGACCTCCTGTGATTTTTTTAACAGACCCAGGCTAAAGAAATCTTAGGGCATTTTCTTGTGCTGGCTCATAAAATATTCAGCACAGATCCACTAAATAATACACTCTCATATCTCGAGCTTCTCATATTTGCTTAGAGGCTTTCAGAGTATTGTCTCCATCGCAAGACAATGTGACAACCAGACAAGAAATAAATCTAATAATGGACCGAGTGAAGATATAATAACTTGCTGGGTGTCTCTACGGGCGCTCTCTGACATGGCATCACACATTGTTGATATTTGTCAGATGAGAGATTGGCGTTTCTAAATGACATTTAAACACATAACCTGCAGAGCTGTGCGGCAAGCTGGTCCTGGGTTCACTTCCATCTCCCGACAGGGCCTTATTGCATGTTCTCCCTGTATCTGCTGAACGTAGGTTTCCTCCGGGTGCTCCGATTTACCATATCTCTAGAAAAAGATCTAAATGTAATGAGTGAAAGGATGGTAATGGTTGGAGGCTTCGACGCACCAGTGTGTTCCCCGTCATGCTTGTCTGTGTGTGGAGTAGGGATGTCATCACGACTACCGGTATAGCAGTAAACTCCGGTAAAGAAAATTGACTAACATTTACCGTATTCATTTATAAAAATATATTATCTCTGCGAATTTGAGATTGAGATTAATAATTATTTAAAGAATGCAAAGGGACATCTGATGGAAGACAGCTATTCTGTCTGCAGAACATGAAGAACTTTTTTTGTTTTTTGCTAAAGCCAGCAATACTTCAAACCTCATGGCTCATCTGTGTGATCGTCACCCACAACTCTATAGCCAATGCTAGTTAAGATAACGTTAGCGCTTTAGCTGAAATAGATAATGCAGAGGGGGACTTCAGGTTGAGAGAGAATGCAACAATTTGTCGAGAATCCCCCGAGCACATGAGTTATTCAGCTACAAGCTTGTAATACCCTATCCAGTTATTATAATAGATCCATGACCCACGCCAACAAATTAACAATGCACCTAGCTGCCTGTTAGCAGATAATATGCTAAGCTAAACAGGTAAACAGTAATAGATGAGACTGTGAAATGAAGACACAGCCTTATTGAGCGCTAGTTGAAGACACAATATTATCATGCACTTTGTTTGTTTTAACCATTTTAGTTACATTCACTATGTGTATAATGAAGTGAATGTTATCAACCAAATGTTTCTTGCAGCTCTCAGTTTGTGTAGGTAAAATACAGAAATAATACCAAAAACCTTGATAATTTTTGTCACAATAACCCTGAGGTTCAATTTTCATACCGTGACACCCCTAGTGTGAATGAAGGGAAATTACTGATACAACAAAATAGTAAAGCGCTTTGTGTGACATTGGTCTGTGACAAGTGTTATACAAATACAGATTACTTCCAATCTGCCAAAACATTCGCCCTGAATCAGGAGAGTGTGCATATGGGATAACGGTGTCAGGCCGATTGTGGAGATTGCCTGCTTTGCTTCAGTCAGTCAAGTGTAGCATTATTTGTAGGGGATGCTGGTAATTGCTTTTTAATGCTTTTATCTGTTTTATTGTTTGATTGCATGAATGTTTTTATGGATTTTATGTGATTTTATTGTAAAGCGTTTTGGTCACCTTGAGCGTTGAAAGGGGCTCTATAAATAAAATGTGATCGATTGATTGATTTACTGTGATTATCTATGTGCATTTAGTGCCTCGCGGGATCGTTTCTATCT